TACGCTCTAGTGCTACGATCACGTGAAGGCTGTGCGAATAATCGCGAGTCACCTACGAGTCGGAACCACCTAATGTGGTCTGTACGATAGGCCTATGCACCTAACTTGGATCCAAGCTGAGCGTGTGGTGCGGGAGGTGAACATCATGTGAAGGATTGTGCCCTACTCTGGGCGGGAGCACTAACACCGGGGGTGCAGGTTATGAGCTCTCTAAGTCTCTCAAACTACTGCTGAAAGTAAATATGAATACCACTTACCTGGCACTTACCTGTGCGTCCATAGCACCCAATATGCATATATATGTATGCCACTACTAATGCGTGCAATGATGTATAAACGATAATAATAACATGCATGGCATAAGGCAAATAACCCTTATTAAATCAATTTCTGGGAATATAAATGTATATAGGTATATACGGAAAACAAAAGCCCACTCACTGGTATGTAGAAGGGTCATAGCCCCCCTGCCTCGCGTGTGCACGCTCGTCCTCGGGGTACGTGTCACCTAGATGCGAAACAACTATAAAAACGTTAACTTTAAAGCACATAACCAACTTCTCGTAATCACTTCTCATACATTGCTCAAAATGGACAAATGAATATACCAACGTGCTCTACACAACCTCAGGATCACAACCATATTTTTAGAATAATTTTCCTCCGCCGCACGCGCCCCCACGCGCCGGCCAAGGCACGGACCTACGCGCCCCCCACGCGCAGCCACGTGCCATGCACACTGACGGTGTCAACAGACGCCGTCAGGAATATTCCGTTAAACTGACGGAATATTCCGTTAAACCTAACTGATGCCGTCACTGCCATTAGGAATATTCCGTTAAACTTAACAGAATATTCTCCTTTCTTCTCCGATCTAACCTCGCCGGACTCCGGCCACCGGAAAACTGGGAAAGTTTAAAATTCACTCTTCTCCGTCGTTTTTCATCCATTTTTCACGTATTTTATACCAAAATGAAGCCCTAAACCTCAACTACCACGTTGGACTAGTTTTAGAGCCTAAAAACAACGGAATCAAACTTTCCAAAATATGAAAATTCGGCCAAACTTACAGTTCGTGATTTCGACGTCCAAATCCGTCCAACGATGCACTCCCAAGCTCCTTGGGACCTCACCAACACATCTACAAGCTTCAAATGTCCAAAAACTAAGTAAATTAATGTTGCATGAACAGTACTCAAATCGGAGTTTAAGAAATCGACGTGAAAACGTCGATGTTCTTACCTGAAAAGGGTATATTCGTGCTCCTCTCGACCTCACGATCATAACTGCACCCTTGGTTTCCTCGATCTGCTACGGTATAATGGTTCTTGGTGTGTGTCCGTACGTTTACAGTGGAAATGGGAGCTCGGGGGAGAGAGAGACAGGGAGAAGACAGAGGGAGAGGGAGATAGGGACAGAGTATGTGTGTGTGTGTGTGTGTGTGTGGCCCAACACATGCCAACACCACACCACCCACCAACAAAATAACGAAACGAACTAGGGGCTAAAATGTCATTTCACTAGTACGTTTTAATAATCCCGGGACGGGATGTCACACTAAAACTAAAATACATAATAGAAACGAACAATCCAAGAGATTAGCAAATTTGCTAATCCCCGGCAACGGCGCCAAAATTTGGTGCGATAATTTATACGCACACAAATTAAACCCTCTTTTTGACAATTGTAGTATAAGTATAAGTAAGGATCGTTCTGGACCGGGGATTAGGAGGGATTGTTAATCACTTGGATTTGACTCAAAAACGTAAAAACACAATATAAAGCACTATACTAGACTCAAAGAATGCAAAACTAAACTTTAAAACACTCAAACAAACTAAAAGACTCAAAACAACACAAACACACTCAAATCTGCCTAAAAACCACTTTCTGGGCAGTTTTGAGTATAAACACAAATTTGGACGAAATTAAGTTGTAACTTGACTCAAGACTCTTAAAAACACAAACTAAATTGATTTCTAACTAAATTGACATTAAAGTAAAGGGGGATTTAGGTTTATACGAAGTTAAATTAAATGAACAAATTGCAATTAAAACATAATGTAAATATGAAATTGATGAAATGGAATGAATGGATGATAGAATGGCTAAGGGGTTCATCTCCATACATGTTACACTTGCATAATAAAACGATTTCCAATTGCATTTCAACAAACCATTAATTCTCAATGCTCCAAGTTAATTAGATCCGCTTAAATTAACTTTCAAATCTTCCTAACGTTATTGAATTGGATGATTGCATACGACAACCCAAAGCATTCCTCACAAGTCCCCTACATGATTGCATAATAGTGATACAAGCAAGAATCATTACGCTCTATGAAAATTATAAGTGTTGACGAGGCATTCGTTACTATGGAATACGCATGAAACTTATGCCAAGAATTCGTTTAACGCGATTGTTTATAAGCAACCTCCACTACTTGTGAATATAAGTTTGTAACTATTAGGTGAAACTCACTTATATTCTAGCGTCATATTCATGCATGAAAATTAAGTGTGCACTCTCAATAAACATACATAAATAAGTTATCAATCAAACAGTTAAACGAATTGAATCCACAACTTATGAAACGCAATTAGAAGTAATCAAATCAAAATGCAAGCATAAACATATATTTCGAATCCCCACCTAGCCAAGGGGGGGGTTTAGTTCCTCATAACTTTGAAATCAAAGAAACACCTAAACATTCCAACAACTCAAACTTGAATTGTATGAACGTTTAGGCACTCTTCTCTTCCATTCCTCATACGTACAAAACAAAGAGAATTGAATTTAAACATTGAAATCAAAGAAACACCTAAACATTCTAACAACTCAAACTTGAATTGTATGAACGTTTAGGCACTCTTCTCTTCCTCGTTGTTGTAGCACAAGGTCTAAGGATAGTTTGATGGTGTGAATGGTTTGGGGAGTGGTGAAAATGGAAGGGGGAGGCCACGGCCTTAAGGGAAGGATTTGGTGTGGTGTTTGGATTAGTAGGGAAAGCCACGGCAAGAATGGGAAATGGTTGGTGTTTGTGACTGAAATGTGTATGAATGAGTGTGAATGAATTGTGACTGCAATGGATGCTTATTTATAGGTAAATAAGAGGGAACATGACAGCTAGGAGGTGGGTGGAAAGCTGGAATGGTGATGGGAGATGCATGTGGCTGATTTATGCATGTGATTAAAGGGTGGGAATGCATGTGCTTTGACAGAAATGAAAGGGGATGCACGGCATGGGTTGTTTGGTGCTGGAATTGAATGTGAAAGCATGTGCAATGAATATGTGGCTGATTTGTGGTGCAATGATGAAGGAATAATCTGGAAATGCAAGGTGAAATGAAGTGGAATGACAATGGCATGTGGAATGGCTGGAAAGTGGAATGGGATGCAGGACATGGGTGTGTTTGTGTGTTGTGGCTGATTTGTTTGTTGGTTAAAGATGCATGTGGATGAATTAAACAATGGGAAAGTATGTGATTGACAACTAGGATGAATGGTGGCTGCAATGATGAAGTGTGATGGCTGAAAATGGCAAGGGATGTGCACGGTAATGATGGTGTTTTTGGAGATGAATGTAGCTGCAAGGTGTAAATAATTATGGCTGCAAGGTGTAAATAATTATGGGTATGATAAGTGATAAGTGTATGGTTATGATAAGTGATAAGTGAATGGTTATGATAAGTGATAAGTGAATGGTTATGATAAGTGATGATAAATGAATGATATGTGATTATGATAAGTGATAAGTGGTGATGATAAGTAATGATATGTGGGAGTGTGGCTGAAATGAAGGAGTGGAATGTTGGAATGTTATGCACGGCTAAGGATATAGGAAAGGTTTAAATGTCCTAAAACTAAAGGGAACAAGGTTCCAACTCTTTGGTCTTCAATTAGGTCTTCAATTTCGTCCAACACTTTGGCTCCAAGCATAAGCTATCCATCCTTAGCCCAAAAGTGCTCCAAAAGTCTCCAAAATGCATCTTTTTGCTCCTTTAGCCCTTTGGACCTACAAACACACGAAAATAGCTTAAAGTACTAAAATAACTAAAGAAACATAACGTAAATGCACGAGAACAAGCCATTTAAGTCGCATGAATATGCTCCTATCACTTATCCATATCTCATCAATCATGGCTAGCATATAAGTCGGAGTCACCTCTTGTGACCTGTACGACTTATCCATATCTCATCAATCATGGCTAGCCAATAGCTTAATAAGTATACCTGCACACGAGTCGGAACCACCTAAAGTGGTTTGTATGAGAGGACTGGGTGTAAATAAATACACTCAAGTGCTATGATCATGTGAAGACTGTGCGAATAATCGCGGGTCACCTACGAGTCGGAACCACCTAAAGTGGTATGTACGACAAGACTGTGCACCTACCTTAGATCCAAGGTGAGCGTAAGGTGCGGGAGGTGAACATCACGTGAAGGACTATACCCTGGCCACGGGCGGGAGCACTAACACCGGGGTACAGGTTTATGAGCTCTCAATGCATCTCAATATAACATGTGCAACTCATGGCAACCAGTACGACAATATCGAAGTTGCCTAACACATAACTGTAGTCATGCTATAACGCAATCGATTCAACTAATACCATAAACTCACCTAAACTTACCTGGGTGTTCTGCATTCACCTTTGCACTTGAAAGCATTCCCAATAATTATATGCAAGTAATATACATATGGATGAAAGTTCTAGTGTACATATATTTTCATTTATTATAAGCAAAAAACATTCAAAGAAAAGAAAAAGTACAAAAACAGAGGACAAAGCTTCCTCTGGCGTGTGTGAATGCATATGAACAATCACGTTTGATCCGAATATGTATTTTGAAATGCAAATCCTGTCTAAGTTGCCAGCTTGGTATGTCTCAGTAGAAGTAAAGCTGGGGACCAAATTACGTATTACCATGGGACCATGCAAAATCAGATTAAAATATGTAGCACTTGCACCAAAATCAGGCACAAAGGTATCTGTTTGTTGTTTTATTTGGACTGTAGAATAACCTTGAACTGTCACTGCAGTTGCAGGCATTTTGCAATGGCATGATGAGAAGACATCTTTTACATATTTCCTTGCTTTGAGTATGTTGTATTACTGGTTTTTCCTTTCTGGAAGAACTTTTGCCTCATCTATGTCCAAGCTTCTGCTGTTTGTTTCATTCGGCCTTTATGGATACAGGATTCTACCACCCAAGATGTAAGTATTTTGTTTATAAAGCTTTTGCTAAATAAATTCTAAGTGCTGGAAGAATTCTTTCGTGCTTTATTTTATTATATACCGACCATAATGTCTATTGAACAGGTTGGGTTTTACCCTTAAGACACTGTCTTTATCTTGTTTTGAGATTCCTGAAACGGTAGTGAAAGATAAGATAGCAAGCATAGCGTATTTGTGGAACAAAGGGGTTTGTTATTTGAGACTACTGGCCCGAAGACATGGCTGGGATATTTTCTTCAAGGTATGGACCATAATAACTCATTCCCTTGGGTGAAGTGCATGACTCCAGGAAATGTCCAATTTCATGTTTTCTGTAGCTTTTATCCGAAACCTTTTCTTCGGCAGAGACTATTGCAGGTGTAGCCGTCGAAGTTCGAGTATTTTAGGAAAATTTGGACCTAAATTTATTTATAAGTCATGGCCAGATTCTCAAGAATTATTATGATATATAACTATTCAATTTTGACTCATTAATTATTTTCAGTGGAATTGACAGGCGGTATTTGAACGCTACTGACCAACACTATTGTATCCCCTGCTTATTATATTTGGTGGAAATGTTTGCATATAATCATTTGTCTAAAAAATATTTCCATGTAGTCATTTGTCTGCAAAATGTTGCCATATAGTCAAATTGTCTAGAAAATGTTTGCACCAACTTGATCCATGCGGAGTATGAACTTCAGCATCTTTTTTCTTTTTCTTTTCAAAAATAACCGTTTAAACCTCATGTATTTTATTAACAAGTATCTCTTTGTGATGCATAAATTTTGATATTTCTCAATACTACTTTTATATGAATGGGTGAGTTTTCATTGACAGCAATTATTCTCTCGTGGCCATCTCTACAGTTTGCAGCATCCCTCTTTTTCCTCAAGTTGATTTTGTCTCAAGCCTTGACTGTGTTAATAGGTGTAGGTAATGGAATGCCAGTTTCACCATGCCGGAGTCAATTAATCGCTTACTTGGATAAACTTTGTATTGATCTTGTTGGAAATGTTTTGCAGCGCTGGTGTTGGCTTTCACCCTATTTTTTGTTTGTGAACAATATGAATCGGAAATAGATGGATTGGCAAAGCTTCTGTTCAACGGGTTCATATCAGTTTCTGGGTCATTGAGAAGAAATCTACCTGCTTCTATGCAACTGTATCTTGAAAAACATGGAATCTTGCATCGCGATGAAGGCCTAAATCATAAATAGCTGCCACTGTCACCTCAATAGCCTTTTCCCAGAGGTTTTTCTAACTGTATAAATCCAATCCAATCCAATGGTCTGCTAGCTAGCTTAGATTTTTATGAAAAAATAGATTTTGGGGCAAACCCAACCAACGAAATAGCACAATACAGACTCTTGCTCTGTTCTTATTGTTAACCAAAAAGTTATAGGCTGTAGAAATCAATGCCTTTTCGATATATCTGTAAAACAGAGAAATATTTTGGTAAAATATTAATCTCTTGTGAGTTTGATGTTCTTATTGTTACAAGTACGATGAGGTCGTTTGAATCAAGTTTTGTTTTTCTTTCAGTTTGGGTGAAGGAATCAAGCTTTGCATTGAGTGGGAAAGATTGGTAACATAGATTAGTGCTTGAGGCCCCTCAAGTTTAACCTAATCACTTTAAGCGATCAATTTCCCAGCATTGCTACTCAAACATCTCGTGCCTATCAACACCTGTCATCCTGCAAAATCGCCTTCTACATCGTGGGAATGGTGCACCGGGCATAGCCAAAACCCGGATAAGCTATGAAGCTCGTGTAAGTGATAGTAATACGACGTATGTGATTAAAAGTCAATTGATCTCTGTTATAAACATTTCACAATCCTTTGCGTAAGTAAAATAAGTCTCGCTCAAAAATCTTGATTGAATCCACAAAGACATTCAACCGACTTTTCTTTCACACATATAATAAAATAATAGGGATGGTAGGCTAGCACAAATCACAATGATCTGCATTCTAAATGCACTCATAGAAGCAGGAAACAGAAATATATAGAAATTGGATTTCAGACTTTCTCATGGCAAACCGATAACAGAAAAATTTGGATATTGTATTCCAGATTTTCTCATGGCAATTCGAATATGGTTCTGCCCCATACTTTCTCATGGTTGACAGAAAGAATTCTAGGCCCTGGCTTTCTCATGACAAGCTTAGAATGAAGGTATTCACAGGGATTCAGATCTACTCATGAAACAAGAAAGAAAGATGGATATCTAGGGTTACGATCACACTCATGCAACTAGAAAGAAAATATGCAACGACAACTGTTCTCTACTAACCCTCTTAGTTCGCAATCATTTCAAACTTGTATACATATATCATTTCACAAATTAGATCGATGACTAGATATGAACACGTTTGTAAATCCATACCAAACACACAAAGTATATAACAAGGGAATCTTTCATATGCCAAGTAATTTATCACACAATATTAAAGTCAACTCACCTGGAGTTCAAGCTACAAACAATTGTAGCACGAAGGTCGAAGCACTCAATCACAATCAACGCCTATAAAACACTTAAGTCTTATCGTAGATACCTATAAATAAACAATACAACAAAATAATTCAGGTCATGTGGACTAAAAAGTCAATCATCGTTCAAAGTCAAAGTCGAAGTGGGCCCCACTTGGGTCAACAAACTAAGATTCTCCAATTCGGAAGATTTGAACGTCAAACTTTCATTCCAAAAGTTCTCAAAGGTTCGAAAATCAATAAATAGCAAGCTGAATAAATTGCACGATGATCCAATGGTCAAATTGTCGCTAATTATGAGAATCGTACAACAATACAATTATCGCAAAAGTTGAATAATCAAACCATCGAATTGAATTTCAACAAATGGACCTTGGATATGGTCTCAGGACATCGAGAACGTCTTGCTGTTCAAATCCATGAAATATGATTTTCCCACGCACCACTACATGAGTTTTCTGGTGAATGGAAACTAAGCTTTTCGATCAACTTTAAATTTCACCAAATTTTACAAGCATGTAGAGCTTAATACAATGGACAACTTTTATAACTGCCACGAAGTCCAAAGTGGGAGTAAGACAACCAATTTCGTAGGTAAACATTGTGGGTGCCCAAGACTTCATGGTGTCGGTTTGCTGCCTACTCTGGTTTAACAACGTCGAGGTTGGTCGGGTTTTACTCCTTGGATGATGGGCGACAAAACCCATGTGGTGGCATCAGTCGCTACTTAGCCGATTTATCAGAAAGTCAAAAAGTGTCATTGAAATCCATTGGTTTTCATCGATTTTTGTGGCTTCAAATCGCCATGTACAGGTTAATCGAGGTATTTCTAGAGTGGGTTTTGTGGAGGGAAGTCTAAGCTTCAAAGTGGTGGTGGTGGCATGCTCTAATTCCTCTTGAGTTAGCCATAATTCGCATAAGAAGTTCGAAAGGAAAATGAGTTGGTGGAAGGGGTCATGTGTCGTTGGACTTGTTCTAAATTCTCTTTCCAGAAATGGAAAATTGCTATTTTTGACAATTCGTACTTAGGAAACTTACTATTTATACTAAGTCCAAATGACCAAAATGTCTCTCACTTTTGAGGTTCGTAATTTCTTTGTTTTAACTTCAACTCGCGAACTGTATTCACATAAATGCTCGTGGGATAAAGCTCTATTATGAAAGTACTAGAGTTGGCCATTAAACCAATGGAAATTTTTGAAAAAAGAAAGGTCAAATCACGCCTTAAAACTTGAAATTTTCAAATTCAATGAAAATAAAATAAAATCTTGAATTAGAAAATGCGTCACTAAACAGTGAATTTCAGGAACGGTATTTCACAAATAAAGGTGATTGTGTATGTGATGTGGTGGCAATGTGGTTGATGTACGGGTGATGGAGATGTCCATGGAATTGTGGTGGTGTTGGCAGTGAGGTGGTGGCAATGACAATAGTGGTGGTGATGATGGAACTGAAGTTGGTGGGGGTAATGCAGGGGTGATGATGATGCCTATGAAAATGTGGTGATAATAAAGCTGTTGGTGGATAGTGACGGTAGTGAGGTGGTCGCAAAGGCAATGGGTGGTGGGGATGGTGAAAGTGGGGGTTATGGTGATGGTGATGTTGCAGTGGTGGTACTGTCCATTGTAAAGTGGTGTTAGCAAAGGTAACGATGACATTCGTGGTAGGGGTGGTATGATGGTGGTAGGAAATGGAGTGGTGGTGGTGATGGATATGGTAAGCTAGTAGTGGTGAAATTGGTACCAGGTGGATTACCCTACAATAAAACTTAAAACCAACTGTACTGACTAGTCAAACGTACTAGTTAACTGAGTACAAAGTGAACTTCAGTTAACACTTAACAATGTGAACTTCAGTTAAGTTTTAGTCTTAGTACTTGAGTTAAGTTCACTTGATTAATTAAGTGTCAATACTAGCAAACCCTACAATGTTTAACTCCAACAAGGGTTATGAATAAAGCTTTGTAAAATATTGAACACAATGAAGTTTTTGGCCAGAAAAATCCACCTCTGGTTAAAAAACCGGGGACTCTCCACTGAGTGCGATCCACTAGTGTAAACAAAGTTCATACAAAAACCACACAAGCTCAATTCCTAGATCTCTATCTACGGAGCAGCTTTACCTTTGTATAACTTTTTCTTACACAAGATGGACTCCTTCAGTTTTCATGAAGTGGCAGCTCCTCTTGAGCTCTTCACCTTATGGCACCAAGATCAACATGATCAATGATATGATGTTATGATATGTTTATGAAATTTGGATTCAAATGACCAGTCAGGTTCTCCAGTCAAACAATTGAAGGAAGAATCTAACTTAAATCCAACTGCTTGGTCTATGAAGGATATGAAACTTAAATTTAGACCAAAGCTTAATCCAAAACCATTAAAACAATGCAACCCTAATATGCAGTGATTGGGTGTTTGTGCATGAGATGTTTTTTAAGGCTAGGGTTTCTATTTGGAAGCTTAAAAGGTAGCTTTAAGCCAAGTGCCCTTTTTTTTTTTTTCTGAAATGTAAAAATCCTAACCAGTGAACAATTGAATCCTTGAGAACCATTTTAATGGGAGAGATGAATGTTTCAGACAAGGGGAGCAAGGAGACACATGTCACAAGCTAAAGAGACATTTCCAGATCAAGGGTGAGAGATCCACACACAGGAAAAGGTGTCAGATGGCCCATGCGGGTTGTCTTAATTTGCGTGCCTAAACAGCTGGACAACAGATCAAATTTCTGACTAGACAACAACAATAAACAAAAGGAATATGGAAAAATAAGCTTGACATGCATATACAAATGTATGATTCAAACCTTTTGTAATGAAGATGACAAGTGCTTTGACAAGTTCAATCCCAGTAGAAATTCCACATCAACATTGTGCCCTAACTCTAAATTATGAGCATATGTGGTAGCATTTACAAATTTTGACAAGGGAAGCCAAACAAAAACCTAGTAATTAACAATCTCCCCCTTTGTCTTTTCTTGACAAAATAACCCCAAACCTATGACTAATTCATACATCACCCACACTCAAGAGATCATGCAGTGACAAGAGAAGAGCAAGTAACAACTCATGTAGCAAACATATAATTCTTGGCAAGAGACAAGTGAGATTCATCATGGGTTATTATAATATAAGCTCATTTAAAAAAAAATTGACACCACACATTGCATGATCAACATAGGATACTCCAGTTACCACGTTTAAAAGAGTTTCAAAATTTTCTCCCCCATTTTGTCATGGTAAGACAAAGGAAGAAAGTAACAAGAAGCACAATACATAACAAGGAGTAAATAGTGAAGCATAGCACGCAACAAAGAAGGGTCAATGCATCTTGGAGAACCAAAACAACCCACAATGGTGCAAAGTTTTGGAACCAAAGTGATAATATATAGCAATTTTAAGCTCAAAAGCCACAAGATCCAAGATAGAATCAAAAGAGTAGCAAGATTAATTACAACAGAAACCAAAAGAAATTGGAGTTTCAAATTTAACAAACATTGTTCAATAGTTAACAAAACATAACTCCCCTATAACACTTGCTCGCAATTAAACTAAAACCCTACAAGAACTCCCCCATAAACTTAGCACTCATCCGATTGTGATGAGCCATCTGAGCCAACAGAAGATCCAGCAGTAATGGCATCTTCAACAGGGGCATCTCCAATGCGGGTACCACTACCAAAACCTTCTGCATCTTTATCTT